CTTGATCCTGCTGGTGTTGAAACTCTTATAGAATACATGTAGAATTTATATGGAACAAAATCACTTCACTCCTGTATTTCTATCTAAAAAAAATTAAAGAGACTGCTGTGAAATACACTTGGATACTTAAGAAGAAAATCTACGTTTAAATTATTCATAAGACAGCCTAGAAACATTAGCAGGCCATACTATTATGACCAATATTTCCTGCAAGGAAACCAAGACGATAATGCCCACATTTATAGACATATTCATTCCTAATAGAGGGCTTGCATAATTATAGCAAAATCCTTGGGTCTTCTCAAGAACAGTTAAGAGTCACATTTAATACTATCCAATCTCTTATCTGCTCTACTATGTAACTGTAACTACAGCTGCACTGACTTTTGTTCTAAGACAACAGGTATGGAGATACCAATAACAACATGCAGGGATAAGGTTTAATTGCTGTATTTGGGAATACTGAGATGATATAGACAGCATCTTTACTCATTTCTCATTTGTTTCATTACACAATGCGAGGTAATACATTGAGAAAATTGTATGGGAAATCTTTACATATTAGAAATGCATTTGATAGAGATGCCAGCCTCTGTCCACTTTTCTATTTCACATTTCCTGTAAAAATGTGACTGTGTATTGAGGTAAAGATTGTAGTGGATTAGTTGATGATAGACATCTTGTTATGTGGTATGCAAATCTTGAAAATGTAACATTATCCCTGATCTACCATTTCCTAGGGCCCAGTGAGAGGCTAGAAATTTGTTAAGCAAAAAACCTCTACTGAAAGCTAATACCAAAAACAAGAAATTAAGAAATATTACAGCACAAATGACAAAATGTATCAAAGACAACTAGAGGAATTTGGAGAAAGAGAAACTAAGTGCAGTTAGGGAAAAGGACCTTTAATAACTCATCTAGAATAAACAGATCTGGAGGCTAGTAATTGTGCCACCTAGAGCAGTAATTCTCAAGTAGGAATCCATAGTGTCAAACAAATGTTGACATGTTGTGGCCTGAATTCCTTGCAACAGAATGATTATGCTGTTATTTTTCACATCAAAAAATGAAAGAAAACTGATAGCTGGCATTTTCCAAGGGGTGCTTTGAGCCTTATGCCTTGACTCTAAAAAGGTTGAGAACCACTCACTTAGAGGGTAACTGAAGTCGAGGAATTGTTTTTGTTGAATAACCAACTCTATTTCTTCTTTTTTCCTCAAAGGTCAGCATCATTACTGGCTGGTACCAAGGAATTACACAAGACATGATATTCCCCAAAGGTGGGGGTATACTTATACTTTTTTACTCACCTTTCCAACAAGGATCATATTCTAAATTGTCTTCTACACCTTTATTTAATATGAATGAAGGACTAAGAATCTTATTTTATTAAATAAAGTTACGTAAAATACTATGCATGGAACTGCTTAGAAGATATGTACCATACCTAAGCGAAATTTTCATTATGCAAAATGTATTCACTTAAGTGGGAATCTGGGGATGGCAGCAATGGAGCTATACCTCTACTTATATTAATTTAAATAACTACATAAGCACAGGTCCTCCATTTTATAGTTCACCTCAGAGAAACAATTTAAGGAACATTTTAGTAATAAAGGTGACCAGTGTTTGTTCTGTGGTGCCAAATAGTGAGTTAATAGTTTGATTACCTGCAACATTTTTTTCTGAACAGCCACACAGGTATCAATCAGAGAAGGTAATACTGGAGAAACTTAGGGCATGTCCCCACAAATGCACACATGCAGGGGTGCGAGTTTTCCGCAGGACTAAAAGCAGTGGAACTTCCTTGCACATGTGCTCCAGAGCGCAGTAAATAGAACCCGGTGGAGTAGGGGAGGCTGAGGCCAGCACCTGTGTTGGCCCCAGCAGTCTTACCTAGCGTCCTGGGGAACTACCCAGGCAGTAGCAGTACTAAGCCGGCCATTTGAAGCCTGGCTGGCAGCCAGAAAATGGCTCTGGACGGCCAGGCTGCAGTTTCCTGCAGCGCACACTGCCGCCATGTGCACCACACCACTTTTTTCAGCAGCTTTTTTTTTTTTTTTTTGACACCAGGATCTTTTGGTGTCAAAAAACACCATGCTGCCAGCTAATACAGTGAAGCAGTGCTTGTGCATGGCATGCATTTTGCAGTACTTCAAATGGATTTGAGGTACAGCAAACCTCACATAAGTGCTCATGGGGAAGCACGCTTAAAGTAGTTTTTTTACAAATCTTCTACTTGTCTATATAGAGCATTCTAAATGGCCGCCAGTAGGATCCAGCAGAGCAATCACATGCAATGAAAAACACTGTATGGGACCATGTGATAATTCTTGTTTCATTAAAAAATATGCCCCATTACAAAATGATAAAACAGAGTATTAATTTACCATGGGTTTTTGTTTTGGGGGCGGGGTTTCTGGTAAATTCAAGTTGATAAAGTGAGATACTTAAAGTGAAATTAAGTATCTACATTCAGCAGACTATCCCCTGTATATACTGCCTGACCCTTACTTCAGCACATTTAGAAGCCCTTCCTGTGACTGAAACACATGGGATATAATTTTGGGAACAAACAAGAAAAGATCAAGCACCACTAAAGCTGTTAAAAGATTAATCAGCACATTCCCATAATTATCATGACAATTTAATTTTCTGTGGTACATTTGGTCCCAAATAACAGCCATCCAAAAACTGGGGATGGGGGGGTTGTAGTATTAGAGTCATATAACAACATCCTAAACATTTCACTTTGTTGCCTAGTGTAACAGGGAACCCTAGCTCTGTTACCAGACAGCAGGAGGGCCCCTTTAAGACCAGAAATTTCCGAGCACAGCCTGCTGGCCGGGTAGGGGTTAAAAGCTGAGCCTCCTCAGCTAGTCAGGTGACCGGAAGGGGGCAGGCCACAACTATAAAAACCCTGAGCTGAGCTGAGTTGAGCTGGCTAAGGGGGCTTGGCTGCTGTGAGGGTGGACTCCTGATGACTCCCAGAGAAGCTGTGGCAGCCCCACAAGAGGGAGCACAGCTGACGGTGGGAAGCAGAAGCACAGAGCCATGGAAAACATGAGCTGGCAGACTGCTTTCCTTAACTTTATTTTGGTTGTAGCCCAGGGGCTTACTCTTTCTGCTTGATTGGTACTCCAGTGGTTTATGGTTGAGGCTGTAGAGGCGGCGGCGGCCTCATTAGCGCCATGGGGTGCAGTCATAAAAGGCCAAAGGGCCCAGTGCACTAGTGGGTGCAGCTGTACAGGGCCAGGGGCCCAGAGCCTGCTGCAGGAAAATAGGACTTTGAAGCTGGGTCCTAGTGGGTGGATCTAGGCTAGTAGCCCAAGCTATAAGAAAGGGACCAAGCCTGAGGAGGCAGAAGACCCAACAACTCGGCACCCAGGGGCACAGTGTGAAAGGGGACCAGAAGGCCTGGTGCTGTAGTGAGCACAAAAGCAGGGCCATGGGCCCAGAGAGTATTAAGGAGCTAGAGCCTCAGAGTCAAACCCTACCTGGTAGGCCTAGCTAGAGAAAGATGGGGGCAAAAAGCCCATGGTGGCTGAGAACCCCAACATAGAAGTATGAACAACATCTGCGAGGCGTGGGGCACGTATAGGGATGGTCAAAGCATGCAGGGACAGCCCTAGTCATCAGGGTGTACAATAGGAAGTCTCCCACTTGTAAGAACAACTAAAGATTTACATCAAGACATGGGAGATTAATAAAGGCAGGCTACAGGACAAAATACAGGAATGAAGTATTAAAGGACTTCAAGAATGCCCCTCACAGGCTGCTAGAATGCCACTGGGGATGGCAACCTGTTGCACCAAGGTTGCCATATAGTTTGTTGGTGTAGCCATGATGATCCAGGAAATGTACAGAAAGCAAGGGGATTTTTGTGGTATCTTTTATTGGACCAACTGTAGAGTTGAGACAGATGCTTGATACATGCTTTTGACTACAGAGCACCCTTCTTCTGGTCTAGAAAGAAACAGACACAGGCTGAGCTAAATAACAGGAAAAAAAGTTTAACTCATGCAAATGAAAGAAACAATTTAAGGAATGGAGGATGGGTGTGAGGAAGGTGCAAAGGGAGGTGATCAGAAATAACTTAAACAAGGGAAATGTAGTTGAATGGATAAACTAATTATGTAGAAGAACAAGACCAGGTCATTATAACCTATGGCATGCAGAGAAATGAGTATAGATAGCAGTTAGATGGTAATGAATCATAAATCTATTGTTTGTGCTTAGTCCATTTTGTCTGGTGTCCAGTAAGTTTATGGATTTGTTCCCAAGACCATCTTTTGAAGGTGTTCTGTACATTTCCCTCATTTCCCTCCAGTATGGGGCCAGTGAGGTCACGAAGAGAATAGTTGTTTTGTGGAGAGTGTTTTACTGATTACTGCATGTCTCTGTCCTTTATCATTTTTTCCTGGGACAGCTCATTCTGAAGCATAGTCTTTGTCTAGTTTTACCCACATAATTTCTACAACGACATTTGGTGCACTGGATGAGCTATAGCACATTCTGCGACAGACATGTGTAGGATCTGTGGATTCTGAAGGTTTCATTGTGGGGGCTGATGATTTTTGGTTGCAGTAGAGATGTGTTGACAGGTTTTGAATGTGTTTGTTGAGGCAGGGTTATGACCTATTTGTCTCGAACTTTTTTTCCCCCAAAGAAAGAGAAATGGCAGTTTACAGTTTGGGAGGGAGATGATGTTTCTC